TTTTTTTTTTTTTTTTTAGGCTCAGTGCCTCATTAACGTGAGCGGGGACGCTGTCATCTGCGTCAGAGAGACAGACCAGGAGCCCATGACCTCGATGACTAATATCGGACAGAGTTGTACAGCTGATGGAGCGACATGACTCTGAGACGGCTGATCCCATTTCCACCAGCAGGGAACACTGTCAGAGTGAACACACTCTCTTTAAGTCTAGCCATCCAAATCTGTGTGAATTTATATTTGCCTTAAAATTTTCAAAGATCCAAAGGTGTGTAGATATAATATTAATAATAATAATAATAATACAATGATAATAATAATAATAAGGATAATGAGAATAAAAAACACATGTGCTGAAAACAGTGTATTATCTGAAAACATATGCGTAACGTCTTTCCGTGTTTGAAAAGAAATTGATGTGGCTCTTATTGGTTGAAAATAACCAAAGGGGCGTCTAAATCAGAAGCTTTTTCTTTTCACTAAAGCCGTCCGCACTGGGATTCGACCACAGCAACACTGTATCGGCCATCTCCTTGTGTTTTGCACACATGAGGCAGCTATAGTTAATTTGTCGGTCTGCAAACACAGACTGAATTTCAGTGGCCGTGCTAAAAGGGATGCAAGCATTTACAAGCAAACCATTTATATGCAGTTAGATTCTTGCAGTGTTTTACGTAGCTTCTCATGCAAGTCAAGTGTCTCCATTTCAAAAAGAGTTCTGCCACTAAGGAAACTACAATGCAGCCTGCCGTAGGCATTTGGAGCCATGACAGGAGACTTCCAACGTGCAGAGAAAACAGCATGTTCTGCACGTTGCAGAACATGCTGTTTTCCCATGTTTAGACAACATGGGGAAAGTTCTCCCATGTTGTCTAAATTTCTACTGGTATTGATAATAATTGTAACAGTATTGTTTTAATTTTTATTTCTTCAGCAAGTGTCAAAAGATAGTGTCACCAACCAGGTTTTTTTTTTTGTTATTGTTGTTTAGAATGGGGCAAGTTACTTTGAATAATTAAAAGGTATGTTTCGATTAAATGTGTAATATGCAAATATTTTTAGTAGAATAAGAATTTCCTTGAGGGAAATCTGTTCCAGTGGCTAATTTGTGATTTTTAAGTTCTTTTTTATTTTCAAATGTAAAAATCAGGTAGCAAAGAAAGCACGGTGTTAATTTCCTTCTGGGTGGGCAATTTGGGATTTATATTAAGATAAATAAATTAAAAGTGGGCAAGTTGGGATCTACCAGATTACTTTCAAAGGAAAAAATAATTCTGGGATCTAACTAAGGCATGAGGCTTGCAAATCTTAGATCATGTTCTCTATGTGTAGCACCTGCGTCAAATTTCACGTTGCCAAGCTTCATCGCCGCTGCTTTGGCCCTCGTCAGTTTCAAGAGTCTCTCTGCTGATCTGTCCGGCATCTGAATAAGCATCTTCTAGAGTTGGTGCCACCTAAAAATAAACTCTGTAAATATTGTGTACAATCAGATTTGTTTTTCTGTATTTTTATAGCATCACAGAATGAATTGTGATGCCTGTGCAGGGCGTTCCTGATTTTAATCACTCTGTCAGAGATTTAAAGGTACTCCAGTCTGTGTGATCAGTAGTTTTGTGATCATTTTTCTGTGTTGTGGCTAAAACTTGAATGTATATACATGGATGCTTTTGCTATTGGACTAGAAGCATGCAGAGCATCTCTTTATTGCCCTGAATCTGTATGCTTGCCTGGTAAGTTGCACAATAAACTAATGTCAAACCAAATGTTTGTTTTCCTTAAGATATATTGTTTCACAATAGTTTTTATTACCATTTATCATTTGCACATAACTGCAAGCATTATTTGGATGTGACGAAAGGGAGACTGATAGAAAGGCGGGGCATGGATTTTGGATTTTGGATTCTGCTTCCCAGTCTTAATGCTTTGTAAGCTGCTTTCACCGCAGTTAACTGAAATCTTTTTGATGCATTTTTCTACTAGGTTTGCATTACACAACGTCAAGATATACTTTATTGCTCCGGGAAATGCTTAATTTGTTGACAAGCTGCTCTATCTCCAAAATGTTAAATATTAGCAAATACAATCATGAGTCATTTATTAAAAACATATACACCTTAGTGTGAATGTTTGCCAAATAGCTCAAGCTCAAATCTATGTGTGAACTTTTGCATTGGGTTGTTATTTACAGAGAAGTTGATGACTTTACACAGGAAATGGAGGCTGGAGGTGGTTGGCCACTATTAACCTTTTTGTGTGAAGCACATACTTTCAGTGTGACCTGACAGAGAAACCGCCCATTTGGACTAAAATGCATTGTAAAAATGTATAAAATAGTGTTCACTTTAACCACAAAAATATTTTGGATTTTACACCTTATACATCTAGAATACATTACTGATTTTTTTCGTTTTACATGTTCTGTTGTTTTTTCACATTCTACATTTTTACCAAATGAAGATTCCTACATGTCTGCTGCAGTCCTCTGTTATTGTTTTTGAAAAGCTTATGAAAAATAAGTAATAAACCACATTCTAACATCAAATAATATTTCCAAAGGGACGCACAGTGTGTGAACACTGGTTACCCATTTTACACAGGGGTACTTAAACGCAACATGTGTTTGAAAGGAGCAGCAGCGACACCTTGCGGCCGCTCAGGTGATTTCAGAAACTTTTCCCGTTTAATACGTGTCTCCCGCTCGTCAAATCCCCGCTTGCAGCTTCCTTCCTGCTGCACAGAAACAAGCGGCGTATGTGGAGGGAAGAACCTCGGTGGCCGGTGGTTAGACATGGGGGAAATTATCCTACCTCGGCGCCTGTTCCTCTGGTGCATGGCGCTCATCTACATGGTAGCTTTTGTTTCCCTCTACGTTCAGATACCAGGTGAGACTGAACGAAGCCATCTTTCTCTCTCTCTCTCCCTCTGCTCCATGCGCCGCGTTAGCATTGTTAGCTGAAAAAACTTCTAGATGAGGCTTCCTGTGCTGCTGTGTTTACGTGGTGAAGGAGCGCCTGGAAACTTCTGCTGTTCTGCGTACTGAGCTAACTTTATGAGCTGCAGAGAGAAATCCAACCTGCGAGACAATATGGTCACATGCTGGATGTGTCTTTAAGCACGTTAACACAATTTTCACTAAAACATTATGATGTATGCAGTTCCAGAAAGTAGTTCCATAATGCAGTTTCAGCTTAATTGCAGACCTTCATGCTTTACTTGCATGTATTGAGTTTGAAATATCAAATTCAAATGCAAAATCTGCACACATTGACAATAGAAAAGTTAATCCCAGACTAATTAACATTCTTTGTATCCAGGTCTGTATGGGAATGATGGGCTGCTCCCTGCCCGCTGGCAGCTGCGGTACACTGGGAAGCCTCTGCTGGAACAGCTGCTGACCTCTCCCACCCTGCTGTGGCTGGGGCCCCTCCTGGGCCTGGACACCCAAACGGCCATGGAGCTACTGTGCCTCACCGGGGCCGCTCTGAGCCTGGCAGCCTCGCTGCTGGAGCCTCTGAGGGACAGCCTGGTCTTCTTCTGCCTCTGGGCCTTGTACTTGTCTATGTACCAAGTGAGTTTGCGGTGGCCTTTGCCTCCTTTCCTCTTTTCTCTGACACAGTATGTTTTTTTTATTTGCCTAAAAGTGTTTCCCTATTACAGGTAGGCCAGGTGTTCCTTTACTTCCAGTGGTAAGTGTTTTTGATACAACCACAAACTGAGCACAAATCAGAGACGGATGATGAAGGAAAATGATCCTTCATCGTTGTCAGATTGGATTTGTCATCCAATCTGACAAATCAAACTCAGTCAGATTGGATGTGGAATTATCTGATTATTACTTATCAAGTATCCCCAGAAATTCTCAAACAAATATGGACCTGGACTTTGACTAAGCCGGTCTGACAAACACATGCTCTTATCAAATATGCTTTCCAGTTCTGGATCTATCTTGATGTTTGATGAACCTCTGCTCCATGTTCAAGTGTTTTGCAACCTCTACCAGGTTTTCTTCCTGTATTGACCTGCACTGAGTTCCTTCATTCCTCCTTTTAACTCTGACCTGCTTTCCTGTCCTTCTTTGGGGGTTAAAAGAAGTTAAGGTCTGTGTTGGTACTTCTCCACACCAAACGTTTTGAATGTATGCAAGAAATATGCTGTTTAGTTACTTGGTCTCAGTGGCTTTAATTAAGGATCACAAATAAAAATGCAGCATGCCACACTTTTCACATTTCTAATATGTTGAAGCTTGTGATTGTAATGCACAATCATTTCCTCACATTAAGATGTGCAGGCCAGTTCAGTTTTCATTTTCACACAGTCTCTACAAACAACAGACGGACGCTGCTTTGCCATTGTAGTGATGTTTGGCTTTGCTGCTGTGCAGCAGAACTGCAGATAACTCACTCATGATGAGATCCTCTAGTTTCTTCTCTTCCTGCAAGTTTTCCTGCCTCCTTTTTATTTTATTTTATTTTTTTCCGCCCTGCAGGGACAACTTGCTGCTTGAGACCGGGTTCCTCTGTGTCCTCGTGGCTCCCCTGACATTAATCAGGGGATCTCGAGCGGTCAGAGTGCACGATCCTGTGACCTTCTGGCTGATTCGCTGGCTGCTCTTCAGGCTGATGTTTGCCTCTGGAGTGGTGAAGCTCACCTCACGTTGTCCCACCTGGTGGGGCCTCACAGGTACAAGTGTTGGTTGCACGAAATGCTGCAGGTGTTACCGGATTTCGTTGGAAAATCTGTCTGATGGCTTATGTTCCTTGTGTCTGTGTTGAACAGCTCTGACATATCATTATGAAACCCAGTGCATCCCTACTCCACTGGCCTGGTTTGCCCACCAGTTGCCGGTCTGGTGGCAGAAGCTCAGCGTAGTGGGAACATTCGTTATAGAAATCCCTGTACCGTTTCTCTTCTTCAGTCCTTTGCGACGGCTGCGACTTGCCGCCTTTTATATGCAGGTGAGAAGAGAAGTTTGAAATGGCATTCTTGAATGCTTTCTGAAATTCCAGATATTCATTGATTGACTGTTCTCTAAGCTACTTTTGTTCCAGTCTTTGTTGCTGCAAAAGTCCAATTCCTCCATAAACCCTTTGATTTCCTTTAAGGCAAGGTTTAGCTTTTGCATTTTTTTTAGCTCAATTACACAGCAAATGGCTAATTGCAGACCTTGCAGGGCCTTCTTCACTCAGTCAAAACTTCCACACTGAAGGGTGTTGTTGTCAGTGCCTTATTAGTTGTTCATTTACTAATAAGGCAAATACTAGATTTTTTATTTATTTTTTTTGCTGAAAATTGGCCAGTTCCGATCACAAGCAGATTTCTCAGTGCGTTTCTATTAAAAACCAAGTTTTGTTTGTAAATTGGATTGTTTTTGTTCTCTGTGTAGTTGCTTCTTCAGGTGCTCATCATTTTGTCCGGTAATTACAACTTTTTCAATCTGCTGACGGTGACCCTCTGTCTGTCCCTTCTGGATGACCGCCACGTCAACTTCTGGCTCCGCAAAGCAGACAAGTCTGGAGACGAGAACAACGGTACATCCTAGCAATTCGCTTGTGTTTCCTGCCATGGCTAACCTGCAAAGCAGTTTTTATTGTTTACACTTTGAGTAGATGTAGAACATTTTGAAAGAAAGAAAGCATTTCTCGTTGGTGGATTATGTATCAGACTTGAAAATTTATAATTAAGTTTTCAATTTTTAGACAGGGATAACATAAAGTGAGTTCGGAAAAGTATGAACTTTGCTTTCATTAGGTTACTTCTTATCACCACTATGCAAAAAAAAAAAAAAGATAAATGTTTAAATTATTGGTGTTACTCCATGTTCAGTACACATGCATAAATATGTCTGTACAATCATGTATTCATGTTTAGGAAGAGCAATGATCATGACTGAATGGTAGGGAGGAAGTACTGTTTATAACTGGACGTTGAATTTGAATTAACAGCCTATTTAGCTTTAGAAATAGCTCAATTAATTGAGAACAAACTTATTCTAGGTTAAGCCATTTCCACTTCTGTATAAGGGTGGAAAAATTAAGCATGGCAAAATGTTTGGCTTTCTACACTTTTTTTTTTTTTTTCTGTGTCCTAAAAATCAAAAATCTAATAATGGTTTATAAATGTAGGGGACTTAACATTAATGCATATATATTTGATTTGGTTCAAAACACCTTAATTGTGACATTCTACCCATCATTTTTTGGTTTTTGACATATTATCTCACTGAAAACGACACAGGGTTGCTGTCAGTTCCTGATTTAAAAAAAAAAAAACAACAATATTTAGTTTACAGGGTTTCCCCCAGAAAACTTGCTGTGCTAGGGGCACTAGGACAGTCATCCAGCCACCCGCCATGATTTTGAGTTAAAAAATTATAAAAGTTGACAGAAAATATTTAAATATCACTTGATAGTTATGCATTACTGGAAGATTAATACCTAAAAACCTACTATAAAGTCTTAAAAAAGGCAATAATTAGAAAAAAAATAAATAAATAAATAAACAATGCTAAACCTGGTGAGGGCACAAGTAAAGCCTGGTGGCCCACCAGGCTTATAATATACTGTAGGAAATCCTGGAGTAGCATACTCACGTCCAACAATTTTACTTATTTTGTTCCAGATGCCAATAACGGAACATATTATTCTGTACCAAACTCCAAAAAATTGGATGCTGAGTTCATTAAAGATTTGTCAAACCTACAGATCAGACTTAATTAGTATTAAATCAACCTTTGACAACCTTTTTTTTTTCTTTTTCTTTTTCAAGATGATCAGAAATTGTAAAAAGCATCTTGTTTGCAGAAACACATTAATTCTACTTATTTGTTTATTTTTCTCTCCATAGACTCTAAGTTGTTGCTGTGGCTTTCTCGCTTAGTGGAGCTGCTAGTTTGGGCTCTCACGATCTTCGGAACAATTATCTGCTTCGACCTGCAGGTGGATTCAGCCAAGAACGCCGTCTCATCGCGCACAGGTCGGTAGCTCTGCTTCAGTTTCCAAGAAACGTTTGGAAAGATTTGCACTTCATTGCTTTGGTATTCATTTGACGTTTGCAGCGTTCACATACCACCAGTTTAACCAGTTTCTGAAGACCGTCACCATCCCCTGCATCTGGATCGGTGTCCTCTCGCTCACCTGGGAGTTGGTCGCATCCATGTTCAGGTGTGTGGCGTGTTCTCCGTTTTTGGATCCTTTTCATTCAAGTTGTTCATCCTACTTTAATGTGAATTCATGTGCAGGTGTGCGTGCATCTCTGGCTTTCTGAAGCGCTTTTGGGGGATGATCCAGTGGACGGTGTTTGCCGCTGCTGCTGCGTCGATGTTTGCAGTCAGTCTGGTGGGTGCTGGAAAATCAAGAGTTGCAAGATTGGATGGCTTACAAATCTCACTGTAGTTTTCTCTACCTTTTTTTTTTTTTTTCAGGTGCCTTTTAGCTACGTAGAGTATGACTCTCACTCCAGGTTGTGGCCGGGGGTGCGTCAGGCGTACGGACTGGTGGATCGCTACCAGCTAGTCAACTCCTACGGCTTGTTCAGAAGGATGACGGGAGTGGGTGGGAGGCCAGAGGTGGTCATTGAAGGGAGCAACGATGGGAACACATGGACGGTGAAGTGACGGTTTAAGGTATATCTGTTCGCACTATGCGAGTTGTTTACATGATTCTGATTTGTCCTCGCAGGAAATTGAGTTCATGTACAAGCCGGGGAACGTCAGTGCGTCTCCCCCAGTGGTGACGCCACATCAGCCTCGCTTGGACTGGCAGATGTGGTTTGCAGCTTTGGGGCCTCAAACCCAGAGTCCGTGGTTCACCAGTCTGATGTACCGACTCCTGCAAGGCAAAAGAGAAGGTGCAAAACCCTTTTGAGTTTTCGTCAAATGAAAACTGAAACAAATGGAGCAGTTTTTTTGTTTGTTTGTTTTTTTTTTTAGTTTGAAACTGGGTCAGATCTGTATCTTCTTTCCCATGCCGCAGTTTTCATTCTCTGAAAGAAATCAGGGAATGAAAGCATGAATCCTGCATGAATCCACAGAAAGATGAAACCGTTGTCTTCCTGAAATTGTGTTGAATTCCCTGTAAAACCAAGATTAAGTCATTCTTTTTTTTTTATTCAACAAGGAACAAATGGTTCTCTTAAAGTTTTCATTTTGCTCCTGCAGTGATTGAACTGATCCAGACGGATGTATCCAAGTATCCATTTCACGAGGAGCCGCCTACCTACCTGCGAGCTCACCGCTACAGATACTGGTTTACTGAACCAAAGGCCGATGGGTCAGTGCTCACCGTTTCTCCACCAGCAATGAAACATTACAGCCACATTTTGATGTGCAACTTCTTACAGCACTAATTAAACTCCTTGAACCTTTTCCCATTTTCTAAGTTATGGTGACAAACTTTTCTTTTCTGTTTTTTTAAAGTCTGTCACCATAACATGGGCTTTTAATCTGGATTTCATGTGATAGACCAACACAAAGTATAGCGCAATCACTGGGAAGCAAAATAAAAATGAAAAATGTTTTCCAAGCATTTTCGCAAGTTTGGGAATTTTCAGTAGTTTCCGGATCTGACTTCATTCCAGACTTTATTCCTTGTTTCTTTGTTCCTTCCTTGTGCCATATCCCATTTTATAGTTTCTGGATCCTTATGTAAACCCTACCTGCAGCGGATATAACTGTTTGTTTTTTTTTTTTTTTTAATGCAACAGACTTAAATGACTGAGAGGTTGATGTTAGAAAGGTAGGACATTTTTGACTTGAATAATTCTAAAACTTTGTCCTAATTTGAATTCAACTCCTTTATTCATGAGTTGTGTTGGTTTTTCACATAAAATCACAATGAAATACATTGACATTTGTGGTTGTAATTTTATAAGCCTTTTGCAATTCATTTATCAGTTTTTTGGTTGCACAATTGTAGAAAACTAAAAAAAAAAAAAAACTGTTTTTTTCCTCAGATATTTTGCAGAAATGTGTCTGAAAGTGCAAAAGCTTAAATTGTAAATCAAGACTTGTTTTGATAAGTCTTTTGTGTGGAAAAACATTAGGAAATCAGAAATGTAATCTTTGCCTCACGCGTGTAAATCAGAATAATGAAGATCGATCCATGTTTGGATCCATGCAGATCTTTTCCAGAGCGCTGGTGGAGGAGGGTCTATGATGAGGAGTTCTATCCCAGAGTGCACTTGGGCAACACCTTCTTGGAGGGCATGCTCACCCAGTTTGGACTAAAGGTAAATCTGTCCATAAATGGTTACGATCACTGAAGAATGACAAACAGTGATGGCTTCCCCACTTTTCTTTCTGTGAGAGTTAATTAATAAGTCTTTATTAGTTAATAAATAATAAAATGACAAAAGCCTTTTCACTACTACTGTTCTCAGTCATTTGTTGTCATCTGTGTGTGTGTGTGAAAGTGCCTATCTGAATGATTTCTGTGCTAGTGTGTTTTTTTAAAACGGATGTTAGACTTATCTTGGATTTTCAACATGTTCATCTTTTGTTATTGTTTTTGTTTTTTGGCGCCATCTTCTGGACAGCACCCACACTACAACACTGAATTGGAACTAACTTTAATTAATTGACAATTCACTGCAAGTCGATTGATTGTTTTCCTCCTTACTAGTTTACAGAAAACACAAAAGCCTTTGAAGGTGAGGCTAATTTTTATGGATTTCTTTTTTCTTGATGTTCTGCAGGACAAATCGGCTTCACGTCGGGTTTCCAACACCGCTGTTGCCCAAGCGGTGAGGTGGGTGCGCGCTCAGGTCAGAGGCGTTCCCGCCCACACGCTCATCTGGACTCTCCTTGCCTGTAGCGCCACCTTCTGTCTGCTCCAGGGTTTGCGCAACAAGAACAGGCATGCAGAGCAGACTGCAGTCACCGATGAGGCGGCTGAGAAGGTGGACGATCCCAACGAGGGTGGGGATGAAAGCTTGTCAGATCATTCAGAGGAAAAACAGGCAGAGGAGGATGAGAGTGAAAAGAACACTGAAGATGAAGAGGAGGAGGAAAACGAACAAAAGCTGGTCGGTGAGAATGATGATGAGGAAGAGTTGGTGAAGAAAGATGAGACTCATGATGAAAGTTTTTAGAGAAGTTTTAGACTTTGATCACCACCTGCCTTAAAATAAAAAAGCCAGAGGACATTTCTGCTTCCTCATCAGCCACAATTTCTTCTGCTTTCGCTTTACTTCAGCTATATTTCTAATGCTGAGAAAGAAAGAAAATATTCCTGGTTGCTGAAATCAGAAAATGGAATTCAAAGTATTGAGCTCAGGTTTGTTTTTGGGGTTTTTTCAAGGGAGTAAATGTATATCACTGCTGTTTTCTGTGTTTTTGCACTCGCTACTCTGTCTTTCTCTGTGCTCTGAATCATGACCAGCACTTTTTGCTTTTTGTAAATACTTGAGTATTAGAAATGAAATGCCACAGGAGACATTGCAGTAGCTTTTATATAGATTTTTTTTTTTTTTACAATAAAACAAAAAAAAAGTTAATACATTCATCTATAATTTCAAGCATTATATGAGACTTGAGAAACCATGTTGCAGAGATGGAAGTTTCCATAAGCAAAAGGTGATAACCAAAAAAAAAAAAAAGCACTAAGTCCAGCTTAAGTGTTGATAAAACATTGAATCATGTATATTTACATTTTATAGTCATGTAGCTGATTTCTGATGTCTGTGCTGCTGCTGCTGCTGGTTCACCACTGCAGCACTCCGGGACAGTATTTGTCGATCAGTGACTGGTAGTAAGGCCTCAGCTCGTCTACGTTGGGCAAATCTGTGGTTTTTGTGTACAAATCGAATTTGCTGCAGAGACGCAGAATTCGGAGTTAGATCTCACTAGTCAAATCCTCTATTAATCAAATGAGAGGGTGTTTCTGAAAGAGGAATATACCCACTTGAACTCTTTGACCCAGGGCAGCATCTGCAGGTCTTTGTCGTTGCACAGGTGGGTGTAATCTCCGTGAGAGTGCCAGGGGTAAAAGGAATGGAATCGAATCATGTACAGCCCCTGTGGACAAACACAAAAAAAAGCACTACCTTCAGTCAAGACCTTGGAATTGATATAAACCTCAGCCCGTCTGCCAACTGCGGGGGCGATCGCTTCATTTAATGATTCACACACCTCCTCTGGGATGGCGCAGTTGTTGAATTTCATGACTCTGTAGAGATACTCTGAAGGAACAAAGAACAATGTAAACGCAGAAACATGACTTATATTTCACTTCATACTTTGCATTTCTAAAGCTTGACCCTAGACAGTAAGTTATGTCCAGATACAGTGAGGATGAGGACTTTTAATATTTCCTTCCCAGCAATGTAATTTTAAAAAAAAAAAAAAAAAAAAAAAAAAAAACTTGCTCCTGGTTACAGCTGCTGTTTTGGCAATGGAACAGCAAGCGTCACCAAATATTTCATTGTACTTTGCAAGTACAATGCATTCTACAGTCTAAGCAGTTCTCTGCAACTGCTTAATGATTGCATTAAATGCTGTTTAACTCAGTCATTAAACAGCATTTAATGATATTGCAGTATATAATTTAGCTCTGGTTCAGTAAAGTGTTCTATTAGGGCAACTATGATAACTTTTCTTACCATCATGGCCCCAGGACATCAGCACTTTGTCAAGGCCACAGTTCGGTTCATAGATCCCGTATTCAGTCCTAAAAAAGAAAAGTAACTGATGCTGAATCCTATTTCCTTCGCTCTCCCTCAGTCTTGGTGCTGTTTTGTGTTTCTAAGAGGATGTCACAGTTGCTCCTTGTGATGATGAGTGTGTGACGTGTATTAAATGCACATCCTGTATTGTCCACAGTATACACCAGTGTCCATTTTATTTTGTTTCCCAATTCTGTTTTACTCACAGCTTCTATAATGCAAGAACGGCCTCTGGATGTGACTGTTGATTATTGTTATCGTTTTAACAATGACCCAGTTGACAATCACAATTAAAAAAGTTGAACATAGTTGTACTGGAAAATACCATTGATCATGTCATGTGATTGTACTGTTTATATTTAATCTGTGAAAAATAAAATATGGACATATTTAATTTCTATTTAAGCAGTGAGAATTTAAGCTGAGAAAACTTACTTGTATTTTGGGTTTCTCTCATCTGGGTTGTCCTGGAAGGTGCTGTCTCTGAACACTATGGAGTCTTGAAACTTGCAGCCCACAGGGAATGTGTCTCCTACTACAGCCCACTAAAACACACACACACACACACATACAGTCAGCTGCTACAAAATGATTTACTCAATATGCATGCTCAATAAGGAAGAATATTAACTTTGTTAAAGAAATATTTTCAATGATTGTTTCCAGAATTATAATTGGCCTCTTGGTAGCTTCTCTTTCCCTGGCCTGTATTGGTAGGTTGTTTTTTTTTTTTTTTTTTTTTTTTTTTTTTGTTTTTTTTTTTTTTTTTTTTTTTTTTGGGTTTAAAAATTTTTTTTTAAATGTAAAAAATTTTGTTA